GGACTGTGGGAGACACCAGCCTCAGCTGGAGCAGAGCAGAGAAGCAGGAGCCAGAACATGATGGGGTGAGACTTGGGATTTGATGGATTCCCATTGCCTGGAGAGAGAGTGTACACAGGTGGGATGAATGCAGGGAATCACCCTCAGTTTCTGATCTGTTCCCCCTATCGGTTTGGAGGCCTTTTTCTGAGGTGAAGATCAGAGTGTGGGTGTATGTCAATGGGCAGAATATCATTCTCCATCTTCAGTGGATATCCAGGTCCTAATTTCTAGATTTCTCAATGTTAACTTCAGTGACACAACAGATATTTTAGTTATCATGATTTAATAAGTGGAGATGACTAGATTGTCCTGAGTAATTCGAGAGGGGGGGCAGTCTAATTACAGGAGTCCCTAAATAAAGAAAGAGAGGGGGAGAGGGAGAGAGGGAGAAAGAGAAGGAGAGAGTGGGGGAGAGAGGGAGAAAGAGAGGAAGGAAGAGGGAGAGGGAGGGAGGGACAGAGGGCAGAGGGAGAGAGGGAGAAAGAGCGAGGGAGAGAGGATGATCTGGGATGTTGGGATATATTGTAGGAGATAGCTGACATGTGAGGGGAGTTTGCTGATTCTGAAAATGAGAAAGGGAACCACTAGTCAAGGAATGTAAATGGCCTCTGGGTTCTGGGAAGGCAAAGAAAAAGTTTTCCTCTCTGCCTCTTACCTGCTGCACTTTCCAGAATAGAACACAGCCCTGCAGACACCTGGACTTTACCTTGGTGAAATTTGTATTGATCTTCTGGCCTGTGGCACTTTAAAAATTTACCTTTTGGGTCCAGAAAGATAGTGCAGGGGATAAGTCACTTGCCTTGGCATAAGGCCAACCCCAGTTTGACTCCTGGCACTGCTTATGACCCACTGAGCACCACCAGGAGTGATCCCTGAACACAGACCCGGGGACTAAGCCCTGCGCATAGTCGGGTGAGGACACAAACCAAACTGAAAAAGCAAACAAAATAAAATCAGAGCAAAGAAATTTAATTTTTCTAGAGAAAATCTTGCAGTTTCTTGCAGCTTGAATTGATTGAAACTAAAGGGTTTCAGGGAAATAAGTCTGGGCGAGAAGAAACATACTGGATGATCTTACTCATCTGTGGTCTACAGAAAAACAAAACAAGGTAATAAGCTGAAAGTGTCGATGACAAGCCCTTGATCTTGAATCGCAGAACTGAGATCTGGCACTGGCAGAAGCGAGGAGGGAGGGGTAGGAAAAGCGTGACTAGAAGGGACAGGGACAGTGGGGAAAGGTCTTAGGTCCTTTAGTGGTAGAGAAAGTGCAGTCATTTTGTATATCAGTAGCATTAAAGTTAGCACTATGAGAAGCATAGTACTTAAGCTACAATAAATGTAAATTTTTAAAAATTTTATCTTTAATTTGCCAAACCTGACAGTCGAATATTATCATTTTGTGTAATTTGTACCAAATCTATGAACCAAAGATGCTGTCTGAAAATTTACCTTCCTAGGGCTAGAGCAATAGCACAGTGAGTAGGGCATTTGCCTTGCATGCAGCCGACTGGGTTCGATTTCCAGCATCCCATATGGTCCCCTGAGCACCGCCAGAAGTCATTCCTGAGTGCAGAGCCAGGAGTAACCTCTGTGCATCACCAGGTGTGACCCAAAAACAAAAATTACTTTCCTGTCTTACCAATAATTTTTTTTAATTCTGAAAAAATATTAAAGAAATTGTTTGAAACTTCTAGGTGTGTGTGTGTGTGTGTGTGTGTGTGTGTGTGTGTGTGTGTGTGTTTAATGAAAATAATAGAAAACTAATATGGCAGGTTTGTCCAGGTTTTCTACTGAAGAAGAAGTACAAATGTGAGCCATCTGGGGTTGTAGATACTTGAATCTTTTTGAGAATAGCTTGCTTTAGTAATTGAGAGAAGGTAATTAAGAAGGGGCATTTTGTTTGAAGCTTATTTGTTTTCATTAATCTTCGAGTGAAGGGTTGGAGTCAATGATCTTAGTTCTCTGCAGCTTGAAATTCTGGCATCATTTGCCTTGCAGAAGTAAAGAAAACTCCAAATATGTCGCTACCAACACAGTCTGTTCACCGATGAGGAAAAAAAATCTGGAGAAGCACCTGCAGGAATTGCTGGCAAGTTTAGGAGCACAGCATTCATTAGAAAGTGTGATTATGGACTGTGCTTCCAGGGTCTCTTTTGGGAAAGTAGCATTTCTAAATGTTAATCGGAAATCACTGTCTGTTGCTGAGATCCCTTGTTTTTGCATCAAGGCAAATGTAGTAGCAGGTTCTTCATGGAAGCCAGTGTTGTGAAAATCGTAGGGGCCAAATGCACATCGTGATACAAATCTCCTTGTGTCCTGGCTGCGCCGTGGGTTATCACATAAAATAATCTGTGGTATACTAGAGAGCTCTCTTATTATAAACACCAGGACTCATTGTTCAGAGATTCAAATCTTAACAGGTACAATCAGCTACTGGGTGGAGAAGTTTTTGATTAGAATGCTGGTGCTCCTGTTGGGATTCTTGAAGCGCTCGAGGCCCCCTCCCGTCGATCGTCGATTTGCTCGAGCGGGCCCAGTAACGTCTCCATTGGAGACTTTGTTGTTACTGTGTCTGGCATATCGAATACTCTCGGTAGCTTGCCGGGCTCTTATTAGGCCGTGCTAGTATAGGGTTGCTCTAGGACAGAATATATGCAGTCTGTCCTCTTGCTTCAACTCAGATTAAGTGAGTGATACCAATGGAAAATCCCCTTCTGCGTAGGGGGAGAAACTGCAGTTTCTGTTTCGACACAGATGGGCATGCTGGCTAATTGCCGGAGAGACTGCAGGCACTTCTGCTGTCAGCTCATTCCCTGCCTTAAGACTGACTGCATGCCCATTCTCATTCATTTAAGATCCCAAGTGCAAATTCTGTAGGGGAAAAGGCTATTATTGGGGGGTGTGGAGGGGGGAGCCATAGTACAGTGGCTTGCGCGTTGGCCTAGCACCTGGCCAACCCGGGTTCGATTCCCGGCATCCCATATGGTTCCCTGAGCATCACCAGGAGTTGGTTCTTAAGTGCAGAGTCAGGAGTAAATCCTAAGCTTCACCAGTTTTGACCCCTCCCCCCCAAAAAGGCTGTTATTGTGTCAGTGAGGGAATCTTTTGTAGCGTTATTCCATCTAGATCAGCAGCTCTTGCTCTCTACAATGGATGTTTTCATTCTAACAGAATTCTTTTTTTTTTCTTTCCTTTTCTTTCTTTCCTTTTTATTTTTCATTGAATCACTGTGAGCTAGACTTACAAAGCTTTCATGTTTGAGTTTCAGTCATACAGTGATTGAACACTCATCCCTCCACCAGTGTATGCTTTTCTCCACCACTGTCCCCAGTATCCCTACATCCCCCCCATCCCACCCCTCCCCCTGCCTCTATGGCAGACTGTTTCCATCTTATTCTCTCTCTACTTATAGGCATTATGGTTTGCAGTACAGATACTGAGACACCATCATGTTTAATCCTTTATCTACTTTCAGCACACGTCTCCCATCCCGAGCAATCCCTCCAACCATCATTGACTTTGTGATCCCTTGTATAACCCATCTGCCTTCTCCCTCAGCTCATAAGACAGGCTTCCAACCATGGAGAAATCTTCCTGGCCCTGTCTTTATACTGCCCTTGGGTTCTAAGAGAATTATTGAAGCACTTGAACAGTATTTCAACATGTATCCTTGAGCATGTTATCCAGACATTGGCTTGGGTGAGACTCATGATTATAAAGCCCACTGTGAATGGGGCAGGTAAACTTCAAGGCACACATGTGCCTGAGTCTGTGGCCGGGGAACATCATATAGAAATTATGACCTGCACTAATCTTAATAGCTGATCAAGAGTAAACTATCAGAGATGCCAAAATGGTTACTATTTATCAAAGGCTGCCTGCATTGTTTACTTTTTTGCTTGTTTGCTTACTTTTTAAAAAATTCTTTTTTCTCCCAAGAAGTGCGCAGGGGACCTGGTTGCTGTTCCTGATAAGACCCAGCCAACTGGACAGAGGGTTCAATACTAGAGCTACGTGATGTGGCATTGCTTGGGTCCAAGCCACTTCTTTTCATCAAGACATGCGTCTCTAACCTCTGAGTTTCTGCCCTAGCCTTGTCAAATCTCTTTGACCTTTCCGAACTCTCCCAGAGTTGCTTATGATTTTAGTCTTATCAAGGAAGACTGACACTGATCCATTTATTTTCTGCAGACAGGCTGTCATTGTCAGGGGGCATCAGCCAAAGGAGTCTCAGGATGACAGGCATTGTTTTCACTTGTCATATCAATCACCATTCATGGTCTATCCCAGAATGAGTCTTGATGATACCCAACAATTTGAGAGCTTCCTTGTGGAGTATTTGGTTAAATATTTTTCCTCTGACCCTTCTAGGTGTGGGTGATCATTCCAGGCTGCTCACACAAAACATCTTACACTCAGTGGCTTATAAACAGTAAACATTTATGTTTTTGAGTCTTGGAGACTGGGATGTCCAAGATCAAGTGGCCAGTGGATTTGAGAATATGATGAGAACTTTGTTCCTGGTTTGCAGAGGGCTACATCATCAGTGTGTGCAAGTGGAGGCGGGAAAAATCTCTTTCAAACTGTAAGGACTATTCCCATCATGAGGACCCCACCCTTGTGACCAAATCTAGCACTAAATCTTTATTTTTCGGAGTTCTCGCCATGTAAAATATCATCTTAGTGAGCCAGGCAAAAATGTCAGAATTTGGGAGTAAACCATGTTTAGTCCAGAGCAGTCTCACTAAGACAAAAACTTAATATGTCTATATGAAATGTTCTCTAGAGGTTCTTAGAATAACACTGACATAGTATTTCAAAAGAGTGCCTGTTCATTAACCTTTTCCCCTAAATAAAGGGGATAAAGAGTAATAATAGAAAGAATTTTTTTTTCAGATCTTGGACTTACTTCCTGAAGTGATTTTGAGCAAGGAAAGATGGAATAAGAAATTAATTTGATACTCACCTGGCAGGGAAGAACCATGATCATGAAGGGGGTTTTCCCAGGGCAAGGCTTATCCATTGCACTCCAGATGTGCTGATCCCCACGATTTCCCCAAATGTGGGAAACATAACTGCACAATTAATGGGGGACTGCATTTGTGTTCTCTTCTGGGGGAGGGGGGGATAAATTTATTTGGAAAAACTGTTAATCTTTGTTTTGTTTTCTTCCTCTGACAGCAGTTCACTCCAGGCAGGTTTTGACAAAACACATTTTGTGGAAATGAATGAAGTAGTGGCTTGAGAAACTAGCAATTCCAAGTTTGAGAATTGATTATTTAATAGTCAGCTTTGGGCTCCAGGTTCAGTGTTGCTTCGCCCCACTTCCTAGAAATAAAGGGTTTGGAGTTTCTATTATTATTTACATCAAAAGGAGAAGGCCGTTTGGAAAGGAAAAGTGATGTAAGTCACTTGCATCTGAAACTCTTAGAGTTAAGGGAACTCTTCAATGATGACTAGTCTGGAAAGGACCCGTTAAGCCAGCCAGTAGTACGAAAGGAAATTTACTCTCTTTGAGCTCTAAAAGAGAAGGCTAGTGGGAATTTGTCTATTTGTCCATGAACCTCACCCAAGACTGCCTCTGTGTCCCTGGGTTATGACAGAAGAAGTGTTTGTGATTCACTTGGGCTTTTCATGGGCCTAACAGATAGTGACTGGAAGTGCTTGACTGAGAGGCATGGAGTTGGCCTGCCGCATCAGGGCAGTAAGCCCTCATTAGAGTGACCACCTGTCCCCTCCACCACCCCCAAGTAGGCAATCTTAGCCATGAGACAGCTTTCAAACAGTTCAGTTGGTCACATAGGGCGGACATACCCTGGCCCTCTGCTGTGAGTGGTAAGCTCTTGAGGGGGTGCTGTACTCAGTTGTCTCCTGAACCCTGTCTCTGTTTTGAGGCAACATCAGGCTGGAGGTCCATGTGAAGTAAAAAGAACAACCACTTCATTTTCATGACATCCAAAATTGCTTATTTAAATTCCTGTTTGCCAGGAGGAATATGTTTGATTGAACCAAAGGTTTTGTTCAGTAAGAAATTCAGGATAACATACCTTTAGGACCAACAGGCTAAATTGTTCTGCCTCCCCCGCCCCGCAAAAAAAACAAAATGGAAGACTGTATGTGTCTGTGATTTTTCTGTGTGATCAGGGTGCAAAACTTGCCCTGTTCTTGGAGGGTGCTTTTCACATAAGTACAAATGGTTGCCCAAAGTTTTTGTAGTGCCTGACCTAAGTGTTCTGTACAGCCGAGTCTAAGTGAATTCACCCAATTCACACATACTCTGTGCTGTTGCGTATTTCCTAACCAGGTGGTCTCCAGGCATGTCAGAGTGACTCCAGATGGAATCATTGAGCCCATTTTGACAACACAGCAGCATGAACTATTTTTCTCCTTCTTCCTACCTTACTTTACAGTTTGGTTAAGTAATGAGTGGGTTAGTGGCTCCTCCAGAACATATTAGTGGAAGCAACCTTTGAAACAAGAACGAACAGGTGACATATACTGTGATCCCTCAGGGGAGATATAAATCCTTTCTCCCACAGCCATTGAAATAAAAAAGAAAAACTTTGCTGAATTTTTGACATGAAGTTTTAGGGCACTAGGAAAATGGACTATCAAGACAGCCATTTATATAGACAGTAATGCTGGACTAATCTAATTGGTCATTACTTAAAAATTCTCTGGCAGTTGCAATTAGAGACTGATGAGTAATATTTGAAGTGTTTCTTAGGAGTTTGAGATATTTGATACACAGGTATATAAAGTTATATGAAAATTGAGTTCAGTTCGGAAAAATGGAATTTCACTTTCCTGTTCATGTATATTACTGAGAAACATGAGCTTGACTTCAAATTGGACATTTTGATTTATGTCTTGCAAATCTTAGGCTGAACCACAGGAATTTGATGTTTTTGTTAGATAAAATGATTGAATGTTGATAACAATGCTTCATATTAATAACTTATATCTTTGCTCTTAATTTCTTGATATAAATTCTCTGCAAGCCTCTTAATCTGTAGTAAATACATTCATAAACTGAAAATCTGCTTCAATATGAACCATCCTTCCTGCTCTTTTTTGCTGGTTCATATTTTTTCTGAGTTTCCTTTAAAAGATGTTAAGGGCTTAGAGCTATAGTATAGTGGGTAGAGAATTTCCCTTGCAAGTGGGTGACCCAGGTTCAAACCCTGGCATCCTACATTGTTCCCCGAGCACTGTCACGAGTAGTAACTGAGTGAAAAACCAGGAGTAACCTTTGAGCCGTGCCGGATGACCCCCTAAAGATAAACTAAAAAAAAATAGGTTAAGTTAATGTTAAAAATCTAAAGCAACTGGAATGTACTAGGGGATAGGAACTTTCAGAGAGAGAATGAAGATAAAGATGGAGGACTTTCTGTTTCATGGACTGGGTCAAACTCCCAGCATCTTTTGCAATAATTTTGGGGACAGTCCTTCATTAAAGATGATCAAGCATTATTGTGATAAAAATAAAAATATGGAAAAATGGTCAGCATTCCTTACTTTTTCCAGCGTGTTTTTATTTTAATTTGTATTTTTTTTTGTTTTTCATCATATCCATTGCTTTATTTGGTTCAGAATGAGATCAAGAGAGATCAAAATTGTGCGTGTGTGTAAATTTTTTTCACCTTAGAAAACCTTCGAAAGCACTTCTGTTAAAGTTCTAGGTGAAATAAACCCAGACGGTGAATGCCATGTGGTGATGTCACCGAATGCACTAGATTTGGGAAGCCATCCATAATTTCTTTAGTTATGAATAAAATTATTCAGAGTGGCAATGTTTCTATGACCTTGGTTTTATGCTGTGTTTTAAAAATACTAATTAGCATCAAAAGAAATCATTCCAGGGTCATCATCCAGCATCTTGCCTCAAAACAAATTTTTATAAGGAGGAAAGAACATTTTTATTAGGAGGAAAGAACATTTTTCTTCGAACTTTTTCAGAAAGCATTACTACTGTGGACTGATTTATGGGCTATCAGGTACTTTTATGTATTATTCTGTACTTATAACGCATACCTCTAGCCCTGGTTTTATTAGAAAGATCAGTATTGTGACAGTTATACTTGCTAATTTATGTATTGCTTGCCCTACTTGTAAACTGCTCTCTTTTCTGTTGAAACAAAATCACATATAGGTGAAACTTGCTGACCTTGAATGCTTTGCTTCTTTGTGGTCAGTCTTCCTGGAAAGAAATTCCTAATAAATAGAAGCTGCTAAGTTAAAATGCAATGCTTGACTGAAAGAACCTTTTCTAGACAATTTTGAGGTGAGATTTTAGCAAATGCAGATATTTATCCAGTCTTGTTCTTAGAATTATTCTTCACTCCTTTCCTTTTCTTGCACCAACATGGTATGTTGGTAAATCCTGTTTGTTGTACTATCAGAATATACCCACACAGAACATACTACCCTTCTTAAAAACTCATATTAAAAAAAGTTGCATTCAGTGTGGTCACCAGAGACTGAGCCACAAACTCCTTTTCCTGGATTATTGCTCAGTTTTCTACCAATCTTGTAGGTATAACTACATATGGTACGTATGACTACATATACATATATATTCACATATAGATGAGTGTATATATGTGTGTATATGTGTGTGTATATGCACACACTATGGATTTGTGCTGAGCTAATATTCACAAGGTTATATGTTTTGTTTTATGGGTTCAGTTTCATACTGCTTCAAATGTATGTTGTTACCACACTACACCTGCAACGGTGTCACTATGCCTCCAGTCTAGTGCATTGAACTCCCTTTACTACTTGAACTCTCTCTCCTCTGCCCACTGGTAACCTCAGTTCTGTGGTCACAGTGTAGGTATTTGCTTCATTTGCAAATCAGAAGTTTTATGGGGTGGGGGTGGAGGAGCAGTAACTGGTGCTTGGGGTCCTGAAGGTCCTCTCTGAAATTTTCATCCCATCAATCTTTAAGTTGAATTCCAAGTCCTGAGGTTATGGTGCTGCTTCATACCCTGTGGTGCCAGGGATTACCTCAAGGCTGCACCACACATGAGCTTCAGGGAGCCATAGTATCTGGGTTGCACACATGCTAGGCATGTGCTCTAACCTTTGTACTCTCTCTGGGCTTGCACTCTCTGAGTGTGGACTGTAACATCTCAGCCTGCACGGTCTAACCCTTTGTCATCTCCAGTTGGCTCACTCTGCTCAGTCACACTGACTTCTCGGCACTTCATTGTACACACAGGCGCGCTTTCACTGGAGGGGCTTTGCTTTGGCTGTTTCCTCTCTCAGGAATGCCTTTCCTTTCTCCTCTTATCTACATGGCTAAATCCCGTACTTCCTGCAAGTTTCTGTTTAATTATAAACCTTCCCTTTTATTTAACCCTTGTTCTTGACTTAACATTTTCCCCATTATGATACTTTTTACATTTCAACTTACCTTTTTTTTTCAGTTGTATGTCTCTGTATACTCCACATTAATACCACTATTGAAAGTCTAGATTCCATTTAGCTCCATACAGTTGACCCTCTTGCCCATTTTACCTCTCCCCACCCCCCTTGCTCTTGTGAACCATCACTCTGTTTTCAGAATCTGTGCGTTTAAGTTTGTTTTGTTTGTTCATTTTCTATGTTTCTTCATCTTCTGCACATTTGTTTTCCTCTGATATGTTTCACCTAGTAGAATACCCTCATAGTCTATTCATGTTGTCACAAATGGCAGAATTTTGCCATTGTTTTCTAAATGAATAGTGTTTCATTATGCATATATATCTTCTTCCATTCAATACACATTTATCTTGTTTCTAAACCTTAGCTATTCTAAGGAATGCTGCAGTGAAGTTAACAGCACATATCTTTTCAAACTGGTGGGTATTTTCTTTTTTATTCCTTGGATAAATTCCCAGTAGTGGAATAGCTGATCATATGCTATTTCTATTCTTAATTTACTTTAGAAATCTCCACACTTCTTTTTCCCCATGGTGGTACACCCATTTACATTCCTGCCAGTAGTATGCAAGAATTCACAAACCTTTTCCATATCCTCATCAATGCTTGCTATTTCTTGTCTTTTTTGTAATCGCTGTTCTGATTGACATGAAGTAGTAGTTCTTTGTGGGTTTTACTTTATTTCC